CATCGCCCCATCCACAGCGAATCTTGCAGGGAGGAAAGGTCAGAAGCTCGACTGATTGGCCGCAAATTTTTGACCTTATCGACGGTTGAGGGTCCCGCCTTACGGATGGGAGAAACGTGGCGCAGACCCCAGCACTTTGGGGACATCGCGCACCAAGTTGCACAGGGTGAGAGATAGTCCTCGTCCTGCAGGGCATTCAGCCTTAAGTGCAGCCAAGGGACAATGCACTGCTTTTTTCGACTTTACTACTTTTTGCAACGAGGTTTCTAATTCTCCCATACTATAGGGTTCAGTTCGGTCAGCAGTGGTGTGCAACGGTGGCTGTACGCAAAAATTTTGAACAACCACGCCCGATGCAGGAGCTTGTCGGCGCCTTATTTCCTTAATGCATTCCTCCAACAAACTGCGGGCAGGGGTACCAGCGGATGAAGAATCATTGCTTCGACTCACCAAGTCACGGCTAATGATCTCAGCACATTGCTGCGACGACGCTGGCCGTTGTGTCAGCGGGTCTTGCAAGCCAATTCGAAACATCTTCGACCGGCGGAAGAAGCCTGACAAGAAACTTTGTGCCTGAGACGGGTCACTTGACACAAGCTGGGCGAATTTCTGCAAGTTTGCAGTCTGTTCACACAGCAACAAACTCGCGTAGTCCTCTTTGCTATCAGCAGAACTACGGGCGGGACCGGCAGGGGGAGGGAAAGGCTTAGGGAACTTAACAGCGACTGCCGAGCTGAAGTGTCCAACTGCCAGGTAAAGGGCCTCACGGCACCAGGCACAGGCGTCCAGCAACGACCGTTTACGCTTGTTTGGCAAAGATGGCGCCTCTTGCACTTCCAGGTCAACTTGGGAAACCAACTCAGCAAGGTGCATTAACACGGGCTCGATTTCTGTAAGCGCGTGCGACCACTTATCAGGGTGTGCCCAATGGACAATTGCAAGGCTGGGCTCAGCTACCGGTGAGAAGGAACACATAAGGTCCAGGCAGATGAGTTTATGATCAGAACCACCTATGTCATCATCAAAGGTAACTGCGCGTGGAGATCCTGGCAAACCCAAAACGACATCAATCGTGTAAAAAAAAAATATATATATATAAAGCAGGAAGCCGATGGAAGGAAACCCCCCGGCCTAACTTTACCTTGTTGCATGTGGTGGTATGCAATCGTTCTATATCGTTCTACTACTGCCAGTTTCTGCGCCCTTTGTTCGATCCTGTCATATCTGCGAGTGATTGCACAGCGCACCACATGGAGTTGCGCAAAGGTGAGAAACTTGCAAACATGCGTCGAACATGAATGATTGTATGACTGTGTCATCTTGCTCCGGACCATGAGCTGGCAGCAGCTTGGAGCAAGGACATTAATGCAGGGCCTTGTGATTTTAGATTCTTCACGCGATCTTTCAGCGAAGTCTTGCTCGTCATGGCCTGGCGGCGAAGGTTTTGCTTCCGCCTTTTGCCAGCAACGTGTCGAGCCTGGCTCTTGGCAAGCAACTCATCAATCTCACGCTGGCGGGCTCCCAGCTCCTTCTCGTCGATCTCTCCGCGCTTCAGCCTAGGCGCAAAGCCAGCCTTGTAACCCGCAGCGCTTGCAGGAATATGCCATATTGTGCAGTGCGACCGAAGGACTGGCCAAGCAAGTCGTCCTCAATGGGCAGACTTGATAAGACTTGGAACGAAAGTCATAGGAATGAACGGATGACAGCACCCCCGCGATCATGGTCACAAGCACTGTCATCATGCATCGGTCCTTCGCCTTCTGTGCGTCGAAAGTGCCGGACATCAGCTGGCGTCGCAGTTCCCACTGCCGGGCGACCCGCGCACGCCTGTGCAGAACCAGTACTATGGAAGATTTACATGCCACTGCAGTGGGTTGCGGCACATGTACACTTCGCAAGCCGCACTGCCGAGTGGTTTGTGTAATCTTGACGCCACTTCAAACGATTTCTGAGTGGCCCACGTAGTCTTGCTAGCAGCCATAGGGTCGCGGGCGGCTTTCAACGTCTGCCGAGACCAAAGCTTACGCCCCGTCCGACAGATTTGCCACGTGACTCGTTCCACAAGAGCCTCCCGCAAAGACATCTTCTCCAAACGTCTCAGGCATGGGCAGCAACACCTCAAGAGGAGACCACAGCTTCTCCGCACAAAAATGGCCAAGCTGGCAGACAGTTGTGGCTTTGCTCTAGAGGCACGTAAGCACGCGCCACAGCCGCCGAGCGATTCCTGGAAGGGCAACGTCGCGCAACGCCATAGTGTTGCTTGCTTTGCGCAGCACAAATGCTCAAAAGCATGCAACCATTCGCGAAATATCGCCTGCCAGAAGCCTGGCCACGCGGGTCGCGGCCATCCACCGCAGGAGTGGCCGCAGAACACGGACCCAAATCGGCTCCAACATCCGAAGTACCTTAGATATGTTGCCGGAGATTGGGTGCAGCGCAATTTTGACGAAAGCCAGGTCCAGGTCATCACAAGCGCCGGAATCGTTCCATCGAGTTGTAAAAGCATGACCACACAAATCGAATTTGCTTGTTGACCCTGTCATTTTGTCCAGACCTGCTCTTCTGCACCGGGGCACAAGGGAGCCGCTCGGCCGCAGGAGATACCTGCAATGTGCAAGTGCTGCAGTCGACCGTGCAGCTGCAGGTCTAACAAACCGTTCCTTTGAAGATGCTTGAAAAGACTGCCAGATTTCCAGGCCTCCAAACAACTTGAAAAGGTAACCTCGGGAACACGCAGTGAGTGCTGCATCCGGACTTCTCCCAAGGCTGATCTGCTGGAGCCTGACACGTACGAAATCAGCCTCGGCCCCGGCCGAAGAGGTCAGGTTGTCACGATGAGACACTGTTTCCGCTTCGGTCCCAACCCCCTCACCGGCCCGTCTTCCGTTTCCGTCCCGTTTTGCGGACGACGTGAAGCATTTATAATTTACAATCACCGAATGAATGCATCCAACGAGAAACTTCATAGCTCCTTTGAATGTGGTCCAGCTTGACTTCGTCCCGGTCTGTACATCACCTAAGTTTCTGTACGGCTTCCGGCTCCAACGCAGGGAAGCGAGACTCGTGAACTTTCCAGGTTCGGGAAATGCAGCCAAGAGTCCGTAGACAGTCGGCTGCGAAGTGCGACAGCAGCGGTAAATGCAGTACAACACGAGGAGAAGCGCTCCGCCTTGAGCAGAGATTGCATGCGGTCTTTTTCTGCAAAACCGCGCGCCTGGCCTGCGGCCGCGTAGTGCCACCACTCGAGCTCCCCGAGGTTCGCCAGGCCCGGCAGCTCCAGGTCGCCAGCTTCCCTTCCCCGGCTTCCGCTGCTCCCATGCTCTTATGCCTCTGACTCTCCTTCTATAGGTTTTTATGCTATATGTCTCGTCTATGCCGAAGCACTGAACCGGCGGGTCCCATCTCGCTACCACCACGGAACCTCGCACTGCATCCATGCAGGAGCTGTCACGACGCGCTGATGCTCCAACTTCACAACGCTTGAGATTTCGCTCTTTCCAAGCTTCGTGCCGATCATGCTCGGGTCCCCTGCCCAGTGGCGAACCTGACACGCTGTCGCAAAACTGTTTCTGTGATGCTGCGCCGGCCACGGCATTCGCAGGCCTCCAAAGGTCCGCAGCTCACGCGAATGGAGCAAATGGTAGAAATCAGCAGATCCGACCCCACAGCCTGAACGTCAAACCGATTCAGCCCACTTGGGCACCGGTTGTGCGCTTAGCAGTTGAATTGAGCTGGCAACCTGATGGCGACTGCCCTCGCTGGATGCGATGCCGGCATAGAAACCGATCACTGCAGTGCCAGGTGGACAGAGTCCTAAGTCATGTCTCAAAGAAGCCGAAAACAGGATCCACGGTCGGGAGCCCTGCACCAACAAGGAAAGTAAAACCTCTAACTGGGCCATCGGCTGCGCGGTCTTTCGGAAGCCTCTCCAGCGGCGCAGGGCTCGCACGAGCCCAAGGCCTGCAACCACCCCCCCCCCCTACGAGCAATCGTCCCAAACTAGCACAACACTCTCTCTAAGACAAGTCCTGATTTGCAAACGCATGAGAAGATCATGGCTGCTTGATCCATACTTGTATCGCATACCGCAGTGCATCGCTGATTATGTGGCCACGTACCGAACCGATCGAACCCGTCCTTAGCGCAAAATATCGCAAAACACACCCACCACACCAGAACCTGCACCAGTACACCAGCCACACCAGCCTCACCAGAGTAGCGGCACCAGCCACACCCACCATACACCAGCAACACCAGCCATGCGTACGGTTACCCGGTGCTGCGTGCCGGGGGGCCTTTCCCACCCATGTTATTCAAGCTGCTTTCTATCGTTACGCGGCATTGACGTGAGGCCATTTTCTGCCTACTTACAGTAGAGCTCTCCAACCCCCAATCTGTCAAATGTTTGATTGGGGGTTGAGCCCCACATAAACATGTACATATGGTACAGGGTGTTCTCGGAAAATACTACCCCGGCTTCAAAGGCAACTTTCGAGGACACACCAAACACACACACCGGCAACAATCACCTGCGTCACGTCAAAACATTAATCCGGATATTTCGCACAAAGAGCATACCAGCATCCTCTTTAAGAAGCCACTCCAAACATCCAGAGCACGTCATCACTGGGAGGGTTGATGGGGCGCCTCAAGGTGGGGAGGGTGGGCTGGAAGGCGAGGCAAGGCTGGTGGCTGGCGCGGCTGGTGCGTCTAGCATGGCTCGTGTGTGGTGAGTGTGGTGGTGTGGCTGGTGGGGCTGGTGTGGCTTGTGTGGGCTGGTGGCTGGTGTGGCTGGTGTGGGCTGGTGTGGGCTGGTGGCTGGTGTGGCTGCGTGGCTTGTGTGTGTGGTGGCTGGTGGCTGGTGGGGTGGGTGTATGGTGGGGTGTGGTGGGTGTGGCTGGTGCGGCTGGTGTGGCTGGTGCGGTGGGTGTGGCTGCGTGGCTGGTGGGGTGGGTGGGGTTGGTGTGGCTGGTCTGCGTGGTGTGGTGAGTATTCGGTATGGCATGGAATACTGGCAATGCATCTACCGCTAAATCCGGCATACGTATCGGTATCGATCGAACCACCCGATTACAAGATTTTCGGGTAGCAAATGTCAAGTGTTTTCAAGTCAACATCTAAAGTCTAAAGATTTAGGGCTCCATGGAGCGAAAGGGGGGACCAGCTGATCAGAACACCCAAGACAAGCAGCACTGGCCTCGACATACTGGAAATCTTCGTTGCAGCAGCACATCTCCGGGTCTGGGCAAGGTTTGAGGTTGGACATCCTGAGATCAGGAAAGGCATCCAAGAGCAACAAATCGCTTTTCTTTGATCTTCCGGGCGACCCCTGGCAGCTGGCCCATCTCTCGGAGCCGTTGATGGGAACAAGGCCCGTGCAATTGGCGCCGGTCTCCTGCGTGCGTGCAACTGCGCAGAGACACTTCTGTGATGCTTCCCTGATGCCACCAGCCGTCCAGCTCCATCGAGGCCACTTCAGGCTCCAGTTCCTCGTGAGCTTCTGAATCCCAGGCGATGATCCGCTCTACCTGCAACTTCGTCAGAGCATGGTGCAAAGAAGAGCACGCCAGGCCTGTGCCCAGGCGGCACAGGCTGCCGCCAAGCCAGCTGCCTGCAAGAAGCCCACAGCAGGAGCTTCTAGGGAAGCTGAAGAGCACGCCTTGCGCCGACGCCAGAGCGCGAGCCGCACTCCCACCAGCAGGGAAGAGGCGCGCTCGTCACAGCGAAGCACTTCGACCTGCGAATTTCTGAAAGCGCTGGCAGCTGAGAGGCTAAGTCTACGTGCCATGTGCGCCTCGGCATTTTCCCCTGCATCTGTGAAACTGAGGATCTGCCGGTTGCCCGCAAGACCCGTTGTGCCAGCCAGGGTCTGCCACTGTGTGTGGTTGGTGCCAACATCGAGCTCCTGCAGAGCAGAAAGCAGGATCCCCATTGCAACATATTGCAACTCTTGCTCGTCTCGCAAGGCTGAGGAAACAGTTTCTCGCTACAGTCTTTTTCGGAGTCTGCCGGAACAGTCCTCAACCTTTTGCCGTTATGATTGCGAGTGCTAATTCGGGCAACCGTTGCGAGGGTGTTCAGGAATTTGTGTCGTGATTTCGGAGTGATGGTCGAGAGTGGTTCATGACAATGAGTGGTCGCACTTCTGACCACATACTCTTGAAGGACTCGCGGCTTCAAAAAGATGATATCAGAGTGACTCCCGAGCGATGGTCATGACTGGATTAGTGAAGTGGGATGCCAGAGTGATGCAGTAGCGATCTGATCGTGCGGTTCCTGTTCCAGCATCGGCAACAGTCGAGCGATATCCCAGCTGTGCCCAGAACTCAAGACACGGCTATACCATACACTTTTTTGCGGTGCAGCGAGGGAGGGCCTGAAATCACCGTGAAACCACTGCGCACGAGTGCTCCTTACTCCGAGGCCACTCCCCAATCACAAATGATCGCTGTTTATCAATCCTAAATCGCGGCCACTCCATAACCGATCCGACTATCCCAAATTTCGAGCCCAAATCGCTCCGAAGTCACTCCCCAATTACTCCTGCAACCTTAAATATTCGATTTAACCTTGCCAAAGCTTTCCCAGGATTTGGGGCGTATGCCTCGGGAGTGCTTGTGTACTGTGTTCTCAGAGCGGTTTGTATTTGGAGGGCTTCCTCTTGGGCACAGGGTGTAAGTGGTTTGGACCGATCATGGACTAGGAGCGCTTTAGGAGTGATTTACAGCGATTTTTCATGATTCTGGAGTGACCTCGGAGTACTGTAGGAAGCGCTCGCATGACTCCGACAGATTAAACCTAAACCACTGACTGCTATAGCAGCCACAAGAGAACAAACAAGAGAGAGAGAGAGAGCTTGAAACTGGTGCTTGCCACGTGTCGTTCGCGACCACTCGGACTTATGGAACAATTGCTCTGCTTACTCTACGTCACTCACAATTGCTTGGGAATCACGTTTCATTGCGTTTGCGACCGATCGCACTCATTTCGGCTGCTTGGACAACTCACAAGCCACTCTGCAAAATCAGTCTGACATCACTATCGAGTCAGCCAATATTGCTTGGATGGCAGTCCTGGCTGCAAAGGAGCTGAAGACTGTCCATCCATGAGCCGGCTCCGCCCAATCGCACGACACGAACACCTTGCATGCACTCAACACACGTGCCGTGCTAGACTGTCCGGCAGTATGGCGCCACTCTGACTACAGTAGCTTGTCGATTAATTGCATCCCGGGATGCCGTGTGCGAACATGCCGACCGGACAAGGGAAATGTGACCTGGGACTGGTTCAAGCTAGAATAGAATGAACTTAAGCAAAAAGGAAAGCTGCACGTTGCACTCCATCATTGAGCCTTAGAGAATCTTAGAAGGCATCATGTTGTTCCACCCTTCTAGGCTTCATACACATGTGCGGTTGACGCATGCCGCCACGCGACACTTCTTGCTCTACACACTCCTCGAGGTCGACGGCATCCTGCGGATGGCACGGGCGACTATTTCAACAGAAATGGGGCTTCAAGCGATACTGCCGTTCCACACCAATATTTGCAAAGTTCGTCAAACGGTCAGCAGCTACACCAAGTCACACCTCTCCTCCGGCAGTGTGACAGTGCCATCCTCGAGCGCGGTTGTTGTGTTGCCTTGCAGGGACAGCTCCTGACCTGAGAACCTCACACCAGGCCGGGGCACAGGGCACCGAATAGCCTCCCACTTATGTGATGTTTCCAATGTTGTTCAAGAAATTTAGAACTTCAGCTGCTTCCACGAGGCCACCGCCTTCACCTTGTAACGTCTCGTTTGCCTCATCACCATCAGGTAGCGCCTCAGCGCGACAGCGTAGCTTGCGGTCTCCGCTTTCGGATGAAGGCAAGCCATGCCATCCCGAGAAGCTGCAAGTCTGTACTGTAAGGATTCGGAAGCTCTGCAGTGCCCGACAGCTGGGTCCATCACGCTGACCAAATGCAGAACTCCCTGTCCTTCATGGTTTTCCATGAGTTGCCTGAGCCATGGAAGAAGTGTTCAGGATATGTCATGCTCAAGACTGTACTGTACGCAAAGGTTATCGCGCAGCAACACATGGATGAGTGTGCGCTGCCAGGAAACTGAGATACCAAAGCGCCGTCTTCGAAAAGGGAGGCGACCCACGTTGACGAGAATGGCAACCGCACCGACGTTTCTGCTTCTGCAGAATCTGCCAGGGTCACTCCTGGCAATCTGCTGATTCTGCCCTCAGACTATTGGTTGAGCTCGGCCAGTGAAGGATGAACAAACATAAACGAAGGCATTAACAAAGCTCGAGTTGTGTTAGCGGGACGGGCTATGGCCGCAGTGTGGCCGTCCTTGAATCTGAAGTACTTCCCGGAGTGGCAGGGCTGGCTCCGAGGTGTAGCCAAGAGTGTAGACCTTGATCTGTTTGGTTTGGGAAGGGGGCTGCTTTGGCAGAAGTGCAACAAGGAGCACGGCCCAAATTTTCAACGGACCCTTACGGGAAACAATCTCGTGAGACATCTCGACGATGGGCCTCGTTCTGTCCACAACCTCCGGTTTGGATGGCTGCCGACGGCCCAACAGCTTATCTTTACACTTGGCTATGGACTTCCTCCCAACGCTTGCTGGAGTTGTCATAGGCAAGCAGGCCCTCACAGAAAGCACGAGTGCGGCGGCTGCTGCTTCGTTATGTATAGGGCTTTCAATTGCTGGCCTTAGGCCGCTCAAACCCTTCTTCTGCTTCAGCACAACGGAGTGCTGGGCGCCACTGCTTCCAAGTCAACAGACACGTCTCCTCTGAGGCATAGAGATACGCGGCCACAGTAGTCCCTACGTCGAGCACCTCTCCTTCAACTTGCTTGTCAGGCCGACACCAGTGTTTCCACATGACGACTGCCGTCACGTATGTCAGGTATGCTGCGACGACAAGCTCCGCAGCTTCTCTAAAGGAGGACTCCTTTCCAACATGCCAAACACTGAGTCCAACCTCCAACACCCACACGAAAGTCGTTGTGAAGCTCCAGAACAAATACATTTGAGTTCGGAACTCATCCAGCTTATTGCTATCCAGAAAGATAAGTACCAGCCTTGGCTAATGGGGATCATGCCAGCTCGAATCAGCCTTGCAAGTCCGTCAAGGCTGTCTAAGTCGTAACGTTTGCCAGGCTCTGATGCCTAACCCAGACCTGCATGTGCCTCCCGGATCCGCCACCAATATCCCCAGGCCGTCGTGCAAACTGATGCAATGCTGCAGATAGCCCAGGCTTTAGATGTTTAGATTGGATGCAACCATGACCATGGCAAAACAGCTCGCACAAAGAAAAGATGCCACTGAAACAAAGGGACACGGCAATCGACCAGGTCAGAACGCCAAGGTTTACTGCAGCCCAGGGTCCGGGGCTCTTCTCCTTACAGCACATGCCCTCAGGCTACAGCGGGTACTCGCATGAGGATCTACTTGAGGTCTTGCACATTCTTGCACTATGAGGAGACGGTCGCAAGAACCGTGGCCCAGCTAGCCCAGGCCAAGACGCCCGAGCCCAAGGCACCGACCCCAAAGCCCGGGCCAAGGCGTAGGCGTTGCAGACCACTTACCATGATTCAGCCGTGTCTCCGGCACACACATCTCGAGCTGCTGGCTGAAAGTCTTCTCCTCCTCCGCATCGCCGGGTAGACCAACATAGCTTGCAGGGCCAGGCGCCATGAGCAGAGTTCAGTACTCAGTTAAGTCTATATATATGTTGGGTCCTGAGCCACGGAGACATGGCAGGACGAGTCACTGCAAAACTGTGTCTCTGTGTGTGTGCATTGGGCTTTGAAGGAGCCTCCGAGAGCTCGGCATAGGCCTCACTTCCGTAGCAAAGACATCGCCACCGTGCTGAGGAGATCATCGAGGTGTTCGTTACCTTGAATCTTCAACCCATCATATATAATCATCATAACCATCTGTGGCATAAAAGGGGCTGCCTTCTCACAATGCCAGGCCATATATCAAAATCATCCTTGCATTCTACAGTAGAACTCAAGGTTTGCAACATGCAAGCCTTCTTAACATAATGTAGTGCTCCAAAGCCGCTCGACAGTTGTCCAGCCATCGCAACGGTGCCGGTGCGGTGATCCGCACGAAGTCAACTGAGGCATTTGTCGGGCTAGGCCAAGAACAGACACAGAAGCACATGTCTGAATCGGGCTTTTGCTTTGCAAAGCAAGAGCAACGAGAGTAGCTGCTCCTGTTGTCATTTTGGGTGCGGTCCGTGAGGGTCAGAGCTCATGGCCCTCTCCTGCCTAGTGCTGCCTCTGCGGCATCTGCGAAGTCAGAGCTGCGAACTCCTGGACTGGTCGGTCCATCTCAGACCCTCTGCTTACAACTGACAACACGGTGTACCGCACCTTGTCGAAAAGCAGATGCGAGACGACTCGCCACGAGGCGGGACGCACGTGTAGGTGGAGCCTCGAATGAAGAAGATTCTTCCGCTGCCACGGAGGTTTCTAGGGCTATTTATTTGTGCTGTCTGACATTGCCAGCCAGCTATGCCTGTGTCTGCAGGACTGTTTACGGTTCATACAGCACGTCATGTCGCAACAGTTTCAGAGACCCCGCCTTCGGCAAAGCAAGGGCCAGCTGCACCCGGATTCCAGACCCTGGTTCGCGACTGTCGACTTTGCACTAAGGCTCATGTTTTGTGCAACCCAAGTAACTGGGAGGAGCTAGCTCGACACATGTTCAAACCATGGCAGGCCCGCACAGATGCAAAGCGCGTTTGTACATGGACCAGTGTTGCAACGGTTTAAGCATGATGCATTGTAGACCGAAGCCACGAGACGGAGACCAACAAGTTGCCCGGTGCGCTGGTGTATAGTGCTGAGGCGAACAACAGCAGAGTGTCGTTGGTCGGGGATGTCGACCACGTGTGTTCTCGATGCAGGAAAACACAGAAAGCCACCCCTGTCAACGGACCCGAGCCTGGCCACTAAACAAACGAACGAACTCGCGCCCATGCGCCTACACATGGAATGTGAGGTACAGGGGCATCATGTGATCCAAACCGTGCACGTGTTACATGCTGCCGGCAGGGCAGGAAGCGGCAATGACGAGCGGGAACATCGTAGCCCCAGAGTCCCGCAAGATGGCCACTCTGAGGATGGACTCGACATGCAGGACTCTTACGCGCATATGTGCAAGTCCATCTCCGAGCTCGCGGCTGCTATCCGCACCGGCCCCTTCTGCCACATTCCACCCTCTCGAATGTTCCCCTTGTGCCAGCTCGGCCGACTGGAAGCTTGGAACATGTCGAATTGACGTTTCAGCTGTTGCGCGCTCCAACAACCTCCGCACTGTTGTCATGCACTTTCCGTCCAAGAGTGGCCGCACTTCATTGATTATACGACATTTACGACCTGCTGCCTACGACCTAGATTCCAGTGGCGACAGGAGCCAAACCATTGACCCTGGCGGCGACGATCTCCAAACAAAATCGAGGTGGCATGCGTGATTGTCTATCGTGCGTGCAGGCTTGGTATGTGCGAGACAGTCGTGAGTCTGTTTGACGTTCAAGAACAGGATCATTCTGCAGCGTCTTCGGTTTGTCAGTTTGAAGCAGTGCACTACAGCCTGCATTGATCCTTCGTCGTTCCACGGCACCTCTTAAGGCTCATGATGCATGGCTCGGGATACGACATTTGGACGTTGTCGATGCGGAAACAGCACACGACATGACTACTGGAATTTCGGAAGCCGGGCAAGTGCCTCTGTCTACAGCGAGCGCTGCAGCAGCAGGAAGCTCCTGTCGCAACATGTTCATGGTTCCCAGCAGGCTGCATCATGAAGGCTTTTGAGTGATTGACTGCTGCTTGTCTGTACACCAGTACCTCGCACTGCCACGCACCAATGACGCACATTCCCATTCACTGCAAGAATCGTGGAGTTCAATCTTGCCGCTTCTTTTGCCTGGCGGGCCTTGTGAACCTAAAGCATGCTAGTTGTGAAACGGATCATGCATCTACCTTTAGAATCTTGTGGCTTGGTACAGCTGGAGATGGTGCTCAGAACTTGGGGCTGAGTGCGCATTGCGTGGTGCAGCTGTGCGCATCCCCGCACTGCCGGGACCTGGCACAGGTCGAGAGAAACAGGTCTGGCAAAGCCTCTGCAGGCCCTCGACCGTGCCTGATGTAGCGTCGCTTCATAGGTGTGAAGGTGTTTTTTGATAAAACCAACCACCTTGGCTGTCATGGCTCCACCAGAGATACGACAAGCTGCTGACACCGACCGAAGCAGAAAGAGGAACACAACTACGGCAACACCCCAACAGCGAAGACGGTAACCTTTGGAGACTCTAGAGAACCCTGGTTTGCATGAGTTTTGCATGCATGCATTCTGCAAAATGTCCACAACGCTTGTCGGTCACACTTCGGATCGTAGCAATCTACTTCGGCCAAGCCACACCACATCTTCATCTCGGGGTATTGTGAAGCTGACAATGCCCACTTCTGAAGTGGTGCCCTGGTTTCAGCGAGTGTTTGTTCTTCATGTCTTCACGTGTGATACTACTTCGCGGTACGCCGTACCACATACATGTCACACACAGCATGCACTACTTACTAGCAAAACCATGATGACTATAAAGCGCTGCCACTGTGCGACGACGACGGCACCAACGACGAAGACAACAACGATGACACCGACACCCAAAGAACAGGTCACAGCAGTATGAGCCAGTGTGCAACCACTTCCCATACACCCGCGCAAGCATTCTACCGACCTGGACCCCAAGCAACAAAGGACCGTGTGCAAAACATGCACACCCGAAATGCGTCGCGTAGATGTACTAGTCTAGCACCAGACTAAAGCGTGAGCGCACGATGATCCGCAGGGTCGGCAAAACGACCGGCCATGTTGGTCCCAGTCTCGGAGTACGATTGGCACTTCCGTCGACGGAGCTTCAAGTCTAAACCCAGGCAGAGGCATCGTACTGTTAAAGTTAAAGCTACAGCCGGATGAGTCTGAATTGGATTCCCTGCGACAAGCGAACCAACGCCGGCCTCGGCAAGAACAGCCTTGTTTTTCGTGAGAATCTGAACCGGTACAGACTTCAGGATCGTTCCTGCAGCCGACTAGCTTCTCCGCATTCGTGGCCGCTTGAGATCCGCTGGAGGCAGGACGTGCTCAAAGAAGACTCTGCTGCAACGGACTGATTAAATCCAGCCTGTGGTGGCACTCACCACCCGTAGTACGAGTTGCCAGTTGGAGGGAGACGCTGATGCTGTTTCCGCAGATGCTTGCTGCTCCTCCAGTAAAGGGTATCGAGCATGCGTGTCTGGTGCCAGGTTTACAGCCAACTTGAGCCAGCAAATCCCGACGATGCGACATGCTCGTCAAAAGGTCCGGTCTCTATCGAAACTGCTTGCTGCGCGCGATGCTCTTTATCCTCGTCATTATCCGGAGAAGGAGAAGGACGATCCAGCTCGTGGTCCTGTGCTGGCAAAGTTGCAAAACGCCACCGCAATCTCATCTGACAGGCCACCTAAATCGAACTTGACAGCTAGCAGATCTCGACAATGCGACATGCTCGTCAACAGGTCCGGTCTCTATCGAAACTGCTTGCTGCGTGCGCTCCTCATTATTGCCGTCATTATCCGGAGAAGGAGAAGGACGATCCAGCTCCTGGTCCTGTGCTGGCAAGTTGCAAACATGCCACCGCAATCTCATCTGACAGGCCACCTAAATCCAAGGGGCTGGCACAAATGCATCACTGCGCGTGGAGATGTCCGTTCATCGCACGAAATTGAAATGATCGGAATGACAGTCCACTGAGTCAACTATCCGCTTTCCAACCCGGTTGTGTGCTCCTGCGCGTCTTGCAATGCCGCCTCAACGTCTCCGTTGGCCAGGGGCACATCATCGACCTCCTGTGCTCCGAAACCCATATGCTTTTAGACATGACTCTCCTGTGTGAACTGGAAACTCTACTCGCAAACAACGACGACCCGTCGTCTGGGTTCATGTCACCTGGCACCACAGCCTGCACGTACTTTGTCTATACTACGTACTTGCTTGCTGCTACCGGAATAGACATGCCTAAAGACATCACTTCATGTCGAAAGCTTCAATAGCCGCTTCTCCTCGATCTCGTCGCTGAGGGTTGAGATCTGATTTGTCAGCTGCCGGTTCGGCTTCCTTGTAGAAGTCCTGATCTCCTGGGACTTCGACGTGACGTGGAATACTAGTCGATAAATCACTCAGCCATTTCATTCTGTTAGCAGGATGCAGCAAAGTACATACGTAATTTCATCTTACTTTGCTCTTCTTTCCCTGCCATGCAGAAAGTTAATCCCTCGCAGAATATGAGGGCCGAAGCCCACATGCTTGCTCTGATCCTACAAAGGCGCAGGTTTGGGAGGATAGGTTACTCTCTACCATGGTAGTCAACAGTCTTAGTCGCGGTGGTGGTGCTGGTGGTCGTCATGGTAGTGGTAGTGGCAGTAGTGGTAGTAATCACTAGTCGTCGTAGTCGTCGTCGTGGGGTGCTTCTGTCACTCACGTAGCACAGCTGTAGGTGCTCAGCGGTCCTAACAACAACGTGAGATATGCATAAACTAATACGCAGAGCCGCCTCACCATGGTATAGCAGAGAGTTCGACTATGCCACCAGAAAGATACTAGTACCACCACTACTACTACTACTACTGCTGCTGCTATTGTTTACTAACACTGCTAAAACTGCTGCTAGTAGTAGCAGCAGCAGCAGCAGCAGTAGTAGTAGAACTAGCTTAGTAGTAGTAGTAGTAGTAGTAGTAGCAGTAGTAGTAGTAGTAGTAGCAGTAGTAGTAGTGGTAGTAGTAGTAGTAGTAGTAGTCGTAGTTAGCAGTTAGCAGCTAGTAGTTAGTAGCTAGTAGTTATTAGTAGTAGCTAGTAGTTAGTAGTTAGTTGAGTGAGGGTCTGGTACACGTTATTGCGTATAACCGTGCTCCCCTCAGATGCGCGTAAGGTAGTTCCAATAGATGTGGTGCCCCAACGAGTGTGACGATGATCCTTTGCAGGCATGCTCGGTCAACTCCTTTTCCTTCGGTCTTGAGTCCGATGCGATCTGTGCAGATGGGCAGTGCGCACTTGACTATGGCTGCAGGAAACGTAAGTAGTGCTATGTGACTTGTTTGATCTTGAGCCAAACACCGGTTTGTTGAGCATATCAGGCTAGTACTTGGTGTCCGTGGACTCCCAAGTACTGCACCTCGCTTGGTGGATCTTTTCCTCCCAGGCTTGATTGCAAACGTGGTAACACAGCTCAACGCATAATTGCACTAGGCTTCGATACAGTATCTGTTCGCACCCCCCCATGAGTGAGGCCTTAGGCTTCGCTCACATACAGGAAGAGAGTCGCGAGAGTGGAAAGAAAGATTGATGCTCAATGGTGTATTGGCACTTGGTGCGCACAATAGGCCCATAATTAAATCCGGCGTGAGACATGATGGCGTTGAGTACGACCCTATTTCCGGCTAGAATGAAAGAATCACATCCTCAAAGAAAAGATGCACGAAAAGTGGTGCCTTTCATCATGTCCACATGCGGAGTTGTAGGCAATGGCGTTGGCAAAATGCACATAGAAGATCACCCATCCCAACGACCGTTGTTCCATCGTCGCTGATTCTGGCGTCCCTGTTGCCATTGATCCTATGTTTGCTGATTGCGACGCCAACGTTCGTGCTGAGGAGGAGGTCCAGGTGGTTAAGGAGGTGACTTTGCTTTGGCTTTGGCTCTGGCCTTGGACATTGCTTTTGCCGAAGCATACGCCTCTTGAGCTTCCTCGGCTTCCTCAGTCGTCACGGGCTGGTCGACAATACTGCATTGTCCGTGAGGTAGAAATCCACCTTCAGGTATGTGTCGTAACGCATTCCCTTGGTAAACTTGGCCTCCATGTTGACGAGCTTTCGGTAGCTTCGATGTGAACTTCGCTCTCATTGGAATTTCCAAGTCGACCATCGTTGCCAAAAGTTGAATGGGACAACCGGTCCATGTGTAAAGCAAGCATATGCCAAATGGATCAATGCATGGAACATTGTCCGGAGTAGTCTCAGACCATGGGGTCAATACAATATACTGTCGATACCCTCCGATCATGGCGACAACCAGTAGTAGTAGTAGTAGTA